CCAATGATCGCCGACTCACGGCGTTAGTTTTGAACATGTTCAAAGCAAACGCCAGGGAAAGCTGTGTCAACGCGAATTTTTTCAAGTTTGTAATTTTTTGGTAATTTTCTCGCGTTGTGTTCACGTTTGTCGGCGACCATGTGTAGTTTCTGGTGGTCGTACGGTCGCAGCAGCGCAGTAAGAACGCCACCTCGGCCTGACAGGGGCATCACAACTAGCCGGAGTTTAAGCGAGCAAAAAACAACCCCACCACTAGTAGTAATGAATCAGACTATCTTCTGAATCTGAGTGAGGCCATAATAAAAAAAATAAACAATGAAAATATGTGTTTTTCTTTTTTTTGAATTAATAGAAACATCCCTTGCAGATACTATTTTTAATTGAACACTTTGCATATAAATAAAATACCACATTGGTTGGGCCTGCGTGTCAACTGAAGGGCCTTACATGATCATGTGTCACACAGGTCCTTCGGGCCTGTGCTTGGAAAATATTTGTTTCGGACACTGGCTATCCCCCGGATCTATTCGATCATTTGATCTGACATGTGCGTTTGTTTTTTGTGGTGTCCATATAGTGTGTCCTGTCCGTAGGTTTGTCTTGTGTAGGCTAATTGTTTGGGTGTGGTGCGGACCCCGTGTGGTCCCCATGCACTTACTATTACAGTCGTCTTCTGTTTTAGAGTGTAGACAGGGTTAAATCTAAATATTAAGGTTAAATGCAGATTTCGTCAAGGTCGCAAAATGTAACTAGCGCTAACCCTAACCCTAATTCAAGACCTAGCTCTAACCCACAATCTCATCAACTATCACTATCCTTTTATCCTATTTACATCTCGCGACCTTGACGAAATCTGCAGGTGTCCTTAATATTTAGACCAGATCGACGATGTAGACAGTTACACGCCCGGGGATAATAATACAACTAGTAAACCTTATGCTGTACATAAATTATGTATATAAAAAACACTTAAAATGGTAGTAAAGTCACAATAATATTGACATAGGCCTATATGTCAAACTTAGATCACGACTCCTCAATTGGAACATAAAACAACTGGTGATTGAGACAGATCTATCCGAACATGCCCGATATACATGTTTTATGTCAAATTGAGAGAGAGAGAGAGAGAGAGAGAGAGATGTAACGCCCATTCAATACAAACCAGGTTATATCGGGACTAACTTATGGCTCAATTTTAATTCAATAATTCGCTTGCGCGTAGGGGTCTTTAGCAGTGGGAGGAAACCGTGGGACCCGAAGAAAACCCACGAGGTTGGACAGGCGAAATCCAGACGGTTAAATTGAGGGCAACGGCTGTTTTTTATGAGGTGTAGGGGGTAAACTGCCACTAGGGATGCCGCACCATACATGCGTTGACAATCAGTTAAATGAAGATATAAGTGTTCTTTAAACATACATTATACAAGAGCTAAATCTGCCAATAGCAGGTCTTTCTTTAGGCCTGAAATGGTATCTAAATTATTAATTAGACATTAATTAACTTATACAGACCATAATCAACTCTCGATGGCATCGCTAGCCTGCGATATTTACTGGATTATGATCCCATTTGCTGCTCGATTTCCATCCATAATTTAATCATGAAATGGATGATCGAGACTATGTTTTTATCGTACAGACTTTAGTAATGATGATCGATGCTAGGCCGAAATTACAATCGCTTAATTCTCGGCTCATAGTGGGTCATTTTGACTGAAATTCTCAGCAAATTGCCCTTTCATTATCTAGTTTTTATCTATTATAAAAAGAACAACCAGCTCTTTATCTGATATCCCATAATGTATCTTTAATCAAACGTTTTATACAAAAAAAAATAGCAGGATGGAGGGCCTGAGAAGGACAGTTGTCTAGTTGTTACGATGGGACGAAAAACCGAGGTCTCGTGTATACATTGGCTTGCACATAAAAGATCCCTTGGCAGTTGGAATTCGATATAAGAGTAGGCCATAGTGCCGATGCCCAGGCAAAATTTCCCTAATTGCACATATTGCACGCGTTAGCAGAGTCCGAGTAGAACAGTAGGACGTTAAACACCATTTTATTTCATTTCATTACAAAAAAATATGATGATGATGCAATCTAACAATATTCTCTTTAAATATCTGACATTGGAATATATGAAACACGGTATTTTGTATTATTTATTTGATTAAGGCTTGTCAGTTGCACCTGTGTTGCATGCTGTAAATGGTATGGAAGTATTTGGACTAAGACTAGTAATTATTTCCCCTTATTTCATGTGGACGAATGTACTTCGAGTTATAAATAGACAATTTTCCCTTGATTTTTTTCTCCCCTCTTCCTGCATTTTTTGGTTGACTTTTTGGTCTAGAATTGGAGAAAAGGGATCAAATTTGCAATTTCATAGCAGTTTGGGGTAATACTGATGATAGGGGGTGTAAAGTGTCTTTCTGCAGAGCAATCATTGTGTCGGAAGTGAGATTTTCACCCCAGTCAACCTCAAATCTGCGTAGCAAAAAATCTAAATGGTCAACCCCCTACAAAATTATGATGAGGAGATTGCCAAATGTTGTCCCCATTGTGCCTATAAAGATTGGAACCAACGGAATGTTGAGCAAAAAAAAAGCTACAGTCTGTGATGTTACAGCCATTTAACATTGAAGTCAATGGGCAAATAATTGCTAGTCTGTCCATTTGTTTACAGTTGTCTCCCTTTCATTACTTAATGATCAAAGCCAGTCTTATTTAGAGTTGACTGTCTTATGTAATTATATTATTTGTATACAATTTTTTTCATTTATATTATATTTACCTGGTGGTTTTATGTTAAGTAAAGCCTTTGTATCAAATATACCTATGTCTTTTGTATCTTGAACCCAGTCGCTTTGGCTCAGGGCCGATTTTAACGTGCCTTGGAGCGCGTCCGTGCTCTAATGAGCGAAAACCGTGCTCTGAGAGATAAAAAGTTTCAATTTGAGCAAAATGGTACGCCACGCATCACTGAAGAGATGTCCATCATCCAAATCCATATTGTTTTGTAAATTTGAATCTGAGTTATCGGTGTCTACCTCAATGTGTGCATTAACATGAAGAGAGGGACTGGGAAATGGGGTTTAACGTCCACTAGTCTTTCGTATAGGACGAACAACCGAGGTCCTGTGTACAAATTGTCGTGCACGTAAAAGAACATTTGGCAATTAGAATTCGATATAAGATTAGGTCGTAGCACCGCTGTCCGGGCACAATTTCCCTCACAGGACACTGCATGGCGTATAACCGTCTTCATTAGCCGTGTGTTTCATTTCTTTTGCGTGTACACTGAAAATCCACTTTTCGTGCCATCCGAACTACTTAACGCTGTTTCTAGCTAAGCCCCGCTTCCTGAAAGTATACACAACTGTATCTCAGCAATTTGTTGGCAGGTCCGTCATAAATTCTGCATGCATTAGATGCTGAAATTAAAAATGTATACACAAGTTTTGTCAAATCTGCCAACAATTAATGAGATAAATACGTTTGGTTTAGTTCTGATTTCATTTCAGTGGGATTCACAAGCTGATTAAAATAAATACAGATCAATATTTCGTTTCGTTTTTTTTTTCCTTTCGATGACCAACACTACATGAAGATCTGACCGGTTGTAGCGATAGGTCGCGTCAGAGGTCATACGAGCGGCTTTTGACCCTATGACTTCAAACATTGATTAATCAATCAGCGTTGACGTCTCTAGTGATTTACCCAGTCCCGTGCATCGCACGCCAAGAAGTCGCCGTAACAGATGGTTTCATTGGCTAATCCCTCACGCCACCCAGAACGCAGATTATATAACAACTCTTCCAGATCCCAGTGTAGGACATACAAATAAAACGAAATTTTGAACTATAAAAAACGAAGCGAAATAAGATCTGTGTTTTTATCAGATTGTGTGATTCAAGGATAGACTGAGATGACCCTTTTAGTGACAGTAGAGTAGACTCGGGTGCTCATAAAGAAATTAATGTTCTTTCGTAGTTTGTGGGCACTTTGTAGTCTCGAATTTACGTATTTTGGATAAAATGACACGCACAGAGGCAATCTGTTTTTCAGAGTATTACGTAAGTCTTCTAATATCTCTGTAAAATATGACTGCCTTCAACACATGACGTCATATCACGCGCCGTCAATCATTGGCTCAATGGCGCGTGCATTGTTTACATAAGACATAACTGATTCGACCAGAATGGCGCCTTTTACTCAAATTAATACCCATTTACACTAAATTAGGAAATAATTTTGACCTACAAATACTTCAAACGTCTTTATTTATTTTTCTAATACATAAAAAAATGTTTTAGAATTTAATTTGTCGAAGAAAAAAAGTTAATTTGTGGCTCATTAAGTCGCATCGATGTCATCCTTATCAGTGATTGTCGCGGCCAAGCGAATATTCACTGCGGATCAGTGTGGCACAGGGGTAGTAGGGCATTCAGGATATACTCTGGAAAGTACCTTTTACATTCAGTTTTTCAAAACAATTCTCGCGCAAGGTGGGGTGCAACTTCTCAATACTCCCACCCTACAGAGAATGTCCTTCGCGGGGCCAGGCGTAGACGGTTCGCCCCGACCCCTAGTCAGTCCCCGTGGGTTTCAATGTGTGCAACGAACTCGTTTATAGGTCAAGGAGTCGATTTTAGATAGTTAGATCAGTCTAAATTAAAATGTCTTTTTTTTAAAATTAAAGGGACAATAACACTCTTGCTGGCTTGAAAGCTCCAGAAAATAAATAATATCTCTATCTAAGTACTAGATGTTTAAGTGTCCTACCTGTAGTGTAAATTATCCATTACATCCTATTTTACTTTTCCAGAGGGTTCGAAAATATTTTTAAATCGAAGTTTCATTTGAAAAGGCTTACGTTAGACGTTTCAAACCATTATGTTGGATTTTTTTTAAAATTTTTAAATAAGGTGTGTTAAGATGAAATTTGTATCATCAATTAATTGAAATATTCTAAAATAGTACAATTTGTTGACCAGAATAAAGATTGGGACACATTATTCAGTTTTAGTTAAGCACGTGTATTATTAAAAATTTGATTACGGTTTATATAATATGCGTTTTGACATAAATAGCAGCACTTCCATCATTCCTGTCTGGTTAATTGCATATAGATTGTCACATTACTCAAGTAAACGAACTGGTTTGATCCAGACTCATTACACAATCGACTTTTTATTCAATGTGAAATATCTCAATAACCATATAAATGTCAAATATTTGGTTGTTTCAAGGGTAATTATATTCGTAGACATGTTATTAAAGGTACCTTCTCACTAGTTATATTGGCGATGGTACCTTCCCGCGTACAAACTGTGGGATTTGATGACTTATTGGTACTAAAATCATATTAAAACTAATATTCCAAAGTTTTCTCCAAACCCTCAAAAAACGTTAACGGCAAAAGAACTACCCCATGCCGCAAAAATCTATTTGAAGCAGCGTTGTTTGTCACGTGACTTGATTGAGGAAGAGTCGATTTTTGTTTGTATTTGTCGCAATCTGATTAAAACACAGATCCTATTTCGTGTCGTTTTTTATAGTTCAAAATTTATTTTTACTTGTATTTACTACACTAGGATCTGGGAGAGTTTTTATATAACCCGTGTTCTATGTGGTGTGAGAGATTAGCCAATGAAATGGTCTGTCAGGGCGAGCTTTTGGCGTGAAGTGCACGGAACTGTGGGTAACCCACTAGAACCATCAACGCTAAAATCCGCTCGTATGACCACTGACTCGACCTTCCACTATAACCGGTCAGATCTTCATGTAATGTAGGCCATTGAAAGTATGAAAAAACGAAACGAAATATAGATCTATATTTTAATCACTTTGTATTTGTCGTTAGTCAGTGCCCATAAATATCAAAGTCTAAGTTAATTCTTGGATAATTTCTGTCACCTTTTTCCCGTCGTTTAACCGCAGAGTCTACTGGATGAAAACATCCACCAATGTTCTCACATCAAATTGGCCATCAGGGGGTTTGGGTGGCCGAATGGTTAACACGTGCGTGCTATATCATACTGTTTGTCATTGAGTCAACTGGCGGGCTTTCGATTCCCCTGTTGTACGTGACAAGGAGTAGGGTCGCCTGTCCAACCTCATGGGTTTTTTCCGGGTCCTTCGGTTTCCTCCCACTGCTAAAGACCCCTACGCGCAAGCGAATTATTGAAATAAAATTGAACCATGTGTTAGTCCCGAAATGACATAGTTTGTGTCGAGTGTTAAACCCCATTTCTCTGTCTCTCGTTAGCCATTATATCAACGCATAAAAAGCGATCCTTACGGCATTCGGGCGGATAGGCTGTATGTTAGTTTTGTGAGTGGCCCGTGGTGTTTTTCAGGGAATCCAGTATTTTTATTGTAATATTGAGTTTTTCCGATATATATATATATATATATATATATATATATGATTACTTTTGCGGGAATGTATCTTTAAATTCTTTTGTTTGTTTTTTTAATCTTTTTTAAAAATTTCAAATCAATTATTGCTCATGTCTAGAATAACTTGACAGCACTCAATCAACGAATGGTATTTAACTTCAAGTTTTTGGTCAAACGTTATCATACTCCTGACTCGCTTTGACGTCTCCTGTGTAGACATTCTCCGGAATATCATTACTTCAATAGGTGAGGTCTCGGCCAAGTCTTAAAGATGACTGGAGCAAGACTGGTACTCCTCTTGTTTGTTGGGCTTTGTGCCGTTTTGGCATTAACATATGCTCGACCAGCTGAAACCAACGAGGTCGATGCCATGCTAGAAAGAGTGAAACGTAACCCAGGTCCAGGTGGTAGAGAAGGTGACGAGGACGGAAAAGGTGACGAGGACGGAGAAGGTGGCGAGGACGGAGAAGACGGCGAGGATGGTGAGGATCGGGAAGGTCGAGAAGAACGAGATAAACGCGAGGCAAATGGTGATAGGGATAGTGATAGAGATGGTGATAGAGATGGCGATAGAGATGGTGATAGAGATAGAGATGGCGATAGAGATGGCGAAGATCGTGGGGACCGGGAAGATCGAGACCGTCGAGATAAGCGTGAGGCAAATGGTGATAGGGATGGTGATAGGGATGGTGATAGAGATGGTGATAGGGATGGTGATAAGGATGGTGATAGAGATGGCGATAGAGATAGAGATGGTGATAGAGATGGCGATAGAGATAGAGATGGCGAAGATCGTGGGGACCGGGAAGATCGAGGCGATCGAGATAAGCGTGAGGCAAATGGTGATAGGGATGGAGATAGAGATGGTGATAGAGATGGTGATAGGGATGGTGATAGAGATGGTGATAGAGATGGCGATAGAGATAGAGATGGCGATAGAGATAGAGATGGCGATAGAGATGGCGAAGATCGTGGGGACCGGGAAGATCGAGGCGATCGAGATAAGCGTGAGGCAAATGGTGATAGGGATGGAGATAGAGATGGTGATAGAGATGGTGATAGGGATGGTGAAAGAGATGGTGATAGAGATGGCGATAGAGATAGAGATGGCGATAGAGATAGAGATGGCGAAGATCGTGGGGACCGGGAAGATCGTGGGGACCGGGAAGATCGAGGCGATCGAGATAAGCGTGAGGCAAATGGTGATAGGGATGAAGATAGAGATGGCGATAGAGATGGTGATAGAGGTGGCGATAGAGACAGAGATAATGATAGAAGACGGGGTAGAAAAGGTAGGCGTTGTAATAGAGATAGGGATGATGGTGATAATGATGATGGCAGAAGAGGTGGTAAAAGAGGAAGGCGTTGTGATAGAGACAGGGATGGTGATAGAGAAAGGGATGGTGATAGAGAAAGGGATGGTGATAGAGATAGAGATGGTAAAAGAGGTAGGCGAGACTAATAAGTTGGAAAAGTTGAGCGTACATCGTCCGATCAGAGACCGTTCCCAGGGCCATTGAGAGGAAATGTGATGGGGCGAGACCCTTTTTTGCCCTGTCCCTTCTTTCCAACACTAGTCATATCTAGATGATTCACTAGCAGATTGCGATAAAGCGAAAACCTTTGCACATACTTATATAAGCTTCAAAGGAACAATAAAAAAATTCATGCATAATTGCCCATTTCAATTTTGAACTTACTTTGATATTCATGGGCCCCATAGACTCTTAAGAATTATGGGCTCTGGGGCGGCGCATTATCCAGTGCACACCTCGCCTGATGCTCATCTAAACAGAGAGAGAGAGAGAGAGAGAGAGAGGGGGAGAGACTCAACACAAACTAGGTTATTTCGGGTTGACTAACGTGTAGTTCAGTTTTATTTCAATGATTCGCTTGCACGCACGGATCTTGAGCTGTGGGAGGAAAACGGTGCACCCGGAGAAAACCCAGGAGGCTTGACAGGCGACCATTCAAGCGGGAAATCGAAACCATCCTCGTGGGTTTTCTCCGGATCCTCCGGTTTCCTGCCACTGCTAAAAGACCCCTACGAGCAAGCGAAGTATTGGAATGAAATTCAACCATGTGTTAGTCTCGAACTGACCTAGTTTGTGTCGAGTGGACGTTAAACCCACCTCTCTCTCTCTCTCTCCTCTCTCTCTCTCGCTCTCTCATTTCTGTAAAGTGGATTATAGTTTTAATCCTTTTGTATTTGATAATCCCCATGCTTGACTGCTCCTAGCATAAGTACAATAGCGGTGTAGGGGTGCGGGGGGGGGGGGGGAGATAACGGCGAAATACATATATCATACGGATGTAAATACAAAAACGATTTTCAGTCAATTGTTTATAGGTTTATACTGTAATAGCTAATTAATAAACTATAACACATACTTATGGAAGAACAATTACTGATTTATTTGGGCGACGTTTCGAAGAGTATTCTCTCAACTTTTTCAAGCAAGGGCCTGGCAAGGACAGCTGTCTAGTCCTTCGGATGGGACGAAAAAACCGATGTCCCGTGTATACATTGGAATGCACGTAAAAGATCCTTTGAAAGTTGGAATTCGATATAAGAGTAGGCGATAGTGCCGCTGCCCGGGAAAAATTTCCCTCATAGCACACTGTATGCCGTATGCCCGTCTTCATTAGCCCATTAGGAGCAAAACAGTAGGACGTTAAACCCCATTTCATTTCATTTGCTTGATAACGTTGAGAGAATACTCCTCGAAACGTCGCCCAAATAAATCAGTAATTGTTCTTCCATAAGTATGTGTTATAGTTTATTGCTCTATCCAGTTACTAAATGCCTCTAAAAGATCAATATCTAATTAGTTATGTATGGCGAAATAAGTGATCAGTCCTAATTGAATTGAAGTATTTTGTGTCTGCTTATTCCAGTCTACACATCTTTAGTCTCGTTCATCAAATTATGTATTAAAAAAACACTTACAATGGTAGTAAAAACACAATAATATTGGAATATGTCAAACTTGCATCACGATTCGTCAATTGGAACGTATATTATAACCATTTATATACATGTATATAACATTTGAAGCCAAAGGCAATACTTGCAATTTGCAGATTTAACTCTTGTATAATGCCTCTCTTTCTCTTTAAACCAAGACGGTTACATTTTAAATAAACAAATTGAAACGAGACTGGCATGTCACCAATATGGCCGTTTTGTTATTTATTGGGTTATATCGAGGCATGTTCATGTGACATTTAAACGAAATCGTGATTTTAGTTATTGATTGGAATTCAGTCTTTCTAGAATAGTGTTTGAAGTTTTGCTAGAGTTGTCAGAATTTATTTAAGGACCTTATGTGTTTTTTTGATTTGTCACTTTAAATCGACGAATATCACGTTGTAAAAAAGAGACATTATTCTTAAGTAGCCATTTAGTGACACGAATCAAACGAGGTGATGGTCTATAAAAGCTCCAATTTTCCTACACGCTTATCACATAGTTCCCACGGATCTTGTAACAGAAGAAGTTCTCTGGATTTAACGTACTTGTCGTAGAGAAGTCTTCTAGAGGATTCAACTATGGCCGCTTCCAAGTTATTGCTTCTCGCGCTTTTTGGGACTCTT